CTGTCAGCCTGCGAGATGTGTCTGGGATGGCAGCCAGGACCCTGCTGCTCTTCTCTCCCTACGCTTCCCTGCCACTCTGCCAGGGCCGGGCAGGGGGAGCCCCGCAGCGCCCAGCTCCGTTGGAGGGGCTGACGGGAAGCTACGCCTTGGTCTGAACCTTCCTTGGGAGGTTGCTGTAGCCCCAGAAGGGTGGGGAGTGGTCATGGTGGTCCCGGACCAGGTGCTGCGGTGCTGCGGGGTGGTGGCAGGGCTGTCCCCCTCCCTGGCTGCGTGTGCATCCCGCTGTGGCTGAGCTGGCTGTCGGTGTGTCATCAGCTCCAGGTGTCAGGGCATAGAGCCTCCCCTTCTGTCCCCGGGTGTCACCAGCGTCCCCACCTTCGCTTCCCATGCGGGCGGGGGCTGCTCACGGGGTTGTGTGATGCCAGGAGCCCCGGGAAGAGCCAGATTTGAAACACCACATCCACCCGGGAGTGTCTCCGCCAGCTGCCACCGAGCCGGCAGGGGCTGCGGCTGGGATTTAGACTTCAGAGCTGGGAGCGGAGCCCATCAGCCAGCCAGCCGTGCTGGGATTTGAAAATCTGCGCCCAGCCAGGGGCTCGTTGCTGGGGGAACGCAGCCTCCCGCCGGGCTGCGGCCAGCCCTGCCTGCGCTCTGCCTGCTGCGGGCTTTGGGGGCACTGCGGTGTCACCCCCTGTCCCCACAGTGCCGTGCTGATGGAGAGTGACCCAGCTGCCTCCTGCCAGCCCCTCGCTGGGGGAGGCAAAGCTGTTTGCAAATCTGCTTGTTGGCAGCTAGTCCGGGGCGGAGGGCAATCCTAAATGGTCCCACACGGGTTGGGGAACGCCGGGACCCGGAGCTGCCTGGTCCTGCCAAGTCGGGCAGGGGCTGGCAGAGCGCGTGCAGCTTTCCTTGGGCCTGCGGGTTGGAGCAGGCTGGGATTAGGCCGGTTTGGCCAGGTCTTTTACACAGCTCCACGCTGGCCAGTGGGCTGGGCTTGGCAGCAGAGGGATTTCTGTTGGAGGAGGATATGGAGAGGATGTTTGGATAGATATCGCCAAAGCTGGGATGTCTTAGTGGTATTGGGAGGTGAAACGACAGTGGGATTAATGGATCCTGCTCCATTCATCTCCTCCAGCATGGTCCCTGCTCCTCCCCACCACCCTGGGGTAGGCTGGGGGGACCCGTGGGGTGCTCCTGGCTGGACCCCAGGTGCTGGGGGCCCAGCTGGGCTGCAGACGCAAGGGGATTGTTCCCAGCTGTGAGGAGGGAGCGAACAGGGAAACGTTATTTGCTGATGAATAAATTCCTGCTAGGCACAATGCTGTGGCGTTGCCAGCCACCCTCCCGAAACGGGGAGAGAGGCAGGGAGGGGAGGTGTGGAGAAGGGCAGCGAGGACGATCAAAGGTTTGGAACAGCTTCTGTACAAGGAGAGATTAAATAGATTTAGATCCTTTAGCTGGAAAAGAGGTGAACGAAGAGGGATATGATAGAGGGATATAGAATTGTGAATGATGCAGAGAGGCTGAATAGGGGACAATTATTCACTCTTTCTTGTACTGGGAGAGCCAGGGGCATGCGTTTACATTATTAGGAGCGGGTTTAAAATATACAGAAGAAAGTACCTTTTCCTGTGCAGCACATAATTAAAATCTGGAACTCATTACTGCGGGAAGCGGGAGAGACCAGCGGTGTCAGTGTGTTCAAAAAGGGATGAGGTGTGTGTGCAGGGGCCGGGTGCGAGCAGGGAGAATGGATATGGCCCGAGGCAGGACAATGTGCACCCCGGCTGCCAGAGCCACCGGGATTTTTTGGCCAGTTTCTGGCTGTTTTGGGAGGGTCGTGCTTGTGGCTGCTGCTCGAGCTGGGTGTGTTCGCCCCAGGGGTGAGTGCCCCGGTCCCCACTTTGGGACATCCCCTCCAGCCCCTCCTAACCCCGGGGCTGTTTCTCTTCCCAGTGGCCCTGCAGATGCCGGAAGGGCTCCTCATGTTTGCCTGCACCATCGTGGACATCATTGAGCGGTAAGATGACGGCTTTTCCGCGCTTCCCCGCTCTGCTCCGGGGGCTGGCGAGGGGCTGGGGGCTGCCGCCGGGAGCGGGATGGCCTCTGAAAGGGCTGCCTGGGCGGGATGAGGCCCAGCACTGCTGCTAAGGGTGTGCAGGGGGTCCCGGCACGGCTGCTGTCGTGGGGACGTCTCCACCACAGCCTGGCATGGTGCAGGCAACGCTGCTGCCCTGCAGCAGGTCGCAGGGACTCGCTGCCAACCCCAGGGACAGGGACAGGGACCGGCACCGCGCCAGCCTGGTCTTTGCCGCTCGGCTTCTCCTCCCCCCGCCCCCCTGCCCGGAGGCGC